GATTCTTAGCATTAAGGGAAAGAATGGACCCAAGCTCTGAGAATCAAAAGGACCTTCATCACCTCATGGAACTGTGCTCCCGAGTTAGGCCTCACCCATATTTTTATTCATATGTACAGTTTCTCCAGTATGAACTGAGGAACTACATGCTTGGATCTATGTTTATCTTATCACAGAATGTTGCCCTTAGATTCCTAGGATTAAAATATCTCACACACACAATGTAAAGCATATTCATTGATTCTCACTGCTTCCAATGAGAATACAAATAAAGGATATGCTGCTTTCAGCATTTTGATATGCTAACTCAAGCACACCCACATTCATACTCTATCTTGGATGGACGGAGGGCAATGTGGGATTTTAAGAGATCAAAGTCAGATGCCCAGGTCACAAGAGTACATAGTCCAGTGAGGCTATTTGCATTATAAGTAGTAGCTTTTTAGTACACAATTGAGTAAAAGTCATTTGTCCAGATTCTGTTCATATTATAAGTCATTCTTACAGTTTCACAGCCATTGATCTGCAGACAAAGTACTCAGGAAGATAAGTAAGTATAAAAACAGAGTACTTTTCTTGATTTACCTCCTATACACTAACTTCATGTGCCTTCTCAAAGGCACTAAGAAACTCTTTCTCTTTTTCACCTACAACACTGCTGTCAGCATAGTCCTCTGTGCCTTTCTTATCAGGGCTATGCTAGATATGTCACGATGAAGACTTGAAAAGTCAAAGACATGAAAGACTTAATGCTAAATAAGTTTTACTCTGGATAAACAAAGGAAAAAGGAAAACATTATTTCTACGAAAAAAATTTGGAGATGGTCCAAAATTCAATAATAGGAAAATGTTTTGCAAATTATTGTGTACTAAATCTTTAATGTTATGAAATCAGCAAAATCATGATTTCCCAAAACAATAAATAATATGGAAAATGTTTAATGTTAATGTGGTAGTTTGAATGAAAATGTCCCCTATAGGCCCTCAAGTATTTGGACATTTTGTCCCCAGATGGTGGTGCTGTTTTGGGATGTTTTAGAAGGTATGGCTATCCTGGAGGGAGCACGTCACTGGGGGTGGGCTTAGAGAGTTCTTAACCCTTGCCAGATCTCCACTCTCTTGCTTCCTGTGCCTGCATGATGATATGAGAGCTTAGCTTCTGCTGCTCCTGCTCCAGCTACCTCCAGCCACCTCCAGCCACCATGCCTCCCTGCCATGACAGACTGTAATTCCCCTGGAACCATAAGCTCAAATAAACTCTTCCTTCTATAAATTGCTTGGGTAAGTGCTTCTATCACAGCAACAGAAAAGTGACTAATACAGTAATGAAGGAAAATTATAATACTAGATTGTATATGCTATATAATTCTAGAAAAATTTTACAGAAAAAGGTTAAACTCAGACAAATGCATTAAAAAATTGGAGATTTTTATCATAATAACTATATTAGTATAAGGAGCTCACAGATCCTTTCCTTTTTTCTAATTCTTTTGTTATCTCATAATATTTACTACTCTATTTGCTTATTTTCATATCTTTTTTAATTAAGTAGTTCTTTGACAATTTTAAGCATGCATATAATACATTCTGGTTGATCTCTCCTCCGACCCTCTCTCTTTGCCTTCTTACCTGTCTATCTCTAATTTTTACTGTTTCTGCATATCTGCAAGCACTTTAAAATAGTAATGTATGCTGTTGACATTCTTGTGTGTTTCTCTAACTTTAGACTGTAAAATAAATAGACTCAGGACATAAAACCAATGAAGGCAATAGAACATATGCCACAAGATTTATTTCTACAAGTCTCGATGAAACAGGGTGCCACAGTGAAGAAAATGATCCTTTTGGTTCTTCCCAGGATGGAGAACTCTATTGTATGATTCAATATGAGTCTGATATTTTGAAAAGCTTCAAGTCAACAAAGAGTCTACTAATATCTCAAAATGTTCAAGTTATATCATTCTTCCCCAGGAAAATAAGAAATAGAGGAAGGATGACCAAATGGAAACTTTGTCCCAGAAATATTTCTTCAATATCTTGTTAGAAAGAGCACTGCCAACAGAATGGGTAGATACCCTTAGTAACCATGGCAAGAATTGAAAAGGATTTGCCAAAAATAGATGGAGAATGCTGATTTAGAACTCTCCATGTTTGTGGTTTTCCAACATTTCTTTCCAATCTTTTCATGGTCCTCTTTAAAAACTTATTCACAACTAAAACTGACAATGATAATTAAATCATCAAAACCAGTTTGAGGTGATCTTGGAAGTCCACACAACGATGTCATAATGATGTTGCAATTTTCCTTTAAGATCAAGGTCAAACTCCTGAAGAGAGGAGTCGAGGCCAAATAAATGATTTTCCTTGTACACACATGTGTAGCTTTCCATGTACAACAACCAAGTTAAAAATCAGACTAGAATAAAGGAAAATAAATTCCAAAATCCAAAAATAAACATGTGAGAGCATTCAGCCCTTAGAACAGAGAAATGTAATTATATATTTAGAACTCAATTTATCAAATAATTTGAGTACTTATTAGAATCCTATTCTCTCCTAGGTTATGTAATAGGAGAAATATAGAGTGATTACATTGTGAGGAGGCATATATAAATGAATCAGAAGCAAAAGCTGATCTGGAATGTAGTTTAGAAAGACCAATTAGAAACAAGACTGATTCAAGCTCTTGTATCTATAAAATCTTCCTTGTTTTGTAGAATGCAGGTCAGTGTTTTCCCAGTACCTGCCCAGTTGTTAACTCCATCATCTTTTACCACTAAGGATAGCATGTAGTGGATGGGAGAATCATCTCACTGACATTTGATTCATTTGGTTGTTCATAGACATATATCAACAACAAATATTTTTTAAATTCTGTTTCTACAGCTAGTTTTCAGCAAGGACTAAATTGTTTACATTTTTTATTCCAAAGGGAGACAATTTTTAACACATTTTTCCAGATATAATGAAGTTTAAGGTGGGAAAAAGAGAAATAAGAAATCAAAGACCAAAGAATTTGCCAACATGGGGTCAACATAGGTGGAATAATGTTTTCATTAGCTCTGTTCTTTTTATTATTTTTTTATTTTTTGGCAAAGCCTAAGGAGTTTATTGGGCTTGCTAACAGAGTATAGGGTGAGGTTTATTTACAAAAGAGTTGGCATCCCCCCCCCATTTACAGCTGTGCTGGAAAGTCCACACTCAAATATAGATCCTGTAATTTCCCGACAGCTGCACAAAATGGCAAGAGAGGTGCCTCATGGTGTTCTCGATTTATATATCCTTGGCCCCTCCCCCCAAAGCAGCTAAGGTTGATTGATTGGGTTGGAAGGGGTAACTGATTCCCCCATTAACTCTTTGATGAGTTTGGGACAGAGGTATGACTACAGCTTGCCAGCATAGTGGTTGGAGTACACTTCCAGTTAACACTCCCCTCCTTCCTCTGGCTCTTACATTCTTCTGCCAACCTCTTCCACAAAAGTCCCTGAACTACAGTAAAAATTGTGCATAAAACAGCTAATGTTTATTACTCATTTATAAATATCTTGCATACTTTACATCATTTCAACTATCACAATTGTGTTTTTGTATGTGTGTGAGCATGCATGCGCACGTGTGTATGTGTGTGTGTGTGTGTGTATGCTCATGTGTGCACATACTCACTGATGTGGGGGTGGCAGAAGTCAACATTGAGATGTGTTACTTAATTGCTTCTCTACCTTATTTTTTGCAGTAGACTCACTGAACCTGGAGCTTTCTGTTTCAGCAGGACTGGCTAGCCAACGAGCCCCTGGGGCCCATCTGTCTCCCTCCCCCTACCCTTAGCACCAGGGTTATAAGTGCTTGCCATCGCATCTGACTTTCATACGGGTTGCTAAAGATCTGAACTCAGATCCCAATAGTTGTGTATCAAGCAGTTTACCTACTCAGCAATCCCCCCAGCCCCCACAACAAAGTTTGTTTATACAATTATTTTCTCCATTTCGTAATTAGAAATATTGAGATTTAGGAAAATGAACCATATTGCCCAAGAGCTCAGAGTGATATGGTGGTAAAACATGCTGTATAAAAGAATACAAGACTCAGGCAGTCTAAACTCCATGCTTTACTAACTAAAAGAATTTTTGGAAAACTTCTAATACTCAAACTTAGTTATCAGTGACTCCCATGAAGGCCATAAATCTATCTCTGTCTTTGATGGTTTCAACAGCTCAGGCTGGCAGGACACATGTATCTTACCTATGTTTATATGAAGGTAAATTTAAAACAGAAAATTGTAGAAAAATGTTAGGCTCTGTAACCTGAGTTAAGAAGTTGTCTGAAAAGTATTCTCTGTGTACATGGGAACAAATGTATATTTCAAAGGTTAAGGATGGGGAAAGACAGGGAGCATACATGACCTACTCTGTCTTACCACAGGGAAGGGCTTTGGCAGGGATTTCCTCAACAGCCTTTGCCACTGTGAAAGAAATAGCAAACACTTGAGCTAAGCTCAGATCTAAACCACATCTAGAACAAATCTCAGCTGTCAGATAGCCTCCAAGTCACTGAAAGACTTTGCAGTTCTGTCAGGATGAAAGGGATAAATGACTGAACCTACACGAGCTTGTCAGTCATTGTGCCAACACCAGAAGATGCACAGTCCCAAATGGAATTGACAAGGTGAGTGCCAGAGCAAGACTTTAAAAGATCTATAAAAAGGAAGTGGTAGAGCTGATGCTGGTTCATATTAAACATTTGAGCAAAGTTTACACGTCTACTCATTAGGTTTCAAGTAGTGATTATAAGTAGGTATACTCAAATAGGAGGAAAGCTCTATTAATAACAAAAGAAGCCTAGTTACATATGTGGGGCATCAGTTAGTTACTATGGAAACACACATGATGTCATAAATCTGATGTTCTAAATTTACAGCTAGACTGAACCTACAAAGTGATAGGGGATGGAGCTGGAGAGATGAAGACCTGCATAACAACAAAAGAATTCCAACAGTTAAAGAAATGAGTCAACCATCTTTGAAACAGAAAAAGAAGGTGAGAAAAATACCCAAAAATCTTACCAGAAAGCTAAAGAAATGTCAATACGAGTCCATCTTTTCTCTCTAGGAATGCCCTGCAAAAACAAATAATTTCAGATAATGACCACATGTAAAAGAAATGGAGGGAGAAGAAAAGGAAGTACAGTGGGAGATTGTAAGTCCATCTAATAAGTCAGAATTTGCTTAGCATATACTTATATGCTAATGTGAAGAGGTAAAAACATTATGGCTCTGTAGGACAGAGACATAAACAGTAAAATTCTGTACTTAGTAAAATCTGTACCAAGTCGCAAAAGGATGTTTAGATTTGAGAACTACACCAGGTCAGGCTGACCTTGAACTGAGTTTTGAAGAATATTAAAGAGTAAAGATAGTTGCACAGGAATGATAGTAAGTAGGCAGATGGAAGCCACTTGGCCTGAGTGGAAATTAAAAGGAAGGGTGGTAAGCATGGGAGTAGGTGGTAGAAGATCCATCCTGAGGCTCCTGGCCTGTCAGTGAACATGGAGTTTAATCAGGAATGAAGCTTGACTAAATTCACATTTAATAAGGCAGACAAATTCAGAAATGGGAAGGCTTCAAAGGTCAAGAATGGTGATCTGAGGCCTAGCACAGAAATGAAGGAGAGTTGAATTTAAAATATCTTTTGAAGCTAGAAGTAAAAAATAGTATGGTGAATGGTATAGGTAGGGGATAGAAAGAAATCATTTCAAGAACTATGAAACTAAATCATCCCTTGAAGTCAAATTCTCAGCTAATACAGGAGAGATGCTTCCCAGGCAAGGCCCAATGTATGAACAGATGACTAGACCACTCTGGGATGGACTTGGTCTAAGTTTTATGTTAGCTTCCTAAACAGATAAAGAATACTAAGCTTCTTAAACAGATAAAGAACACTAATTTGAATTACATTGCTGCTACTTAACTAGCACAAAACAGTATAAATTGTGTTTTAATAAGTATTTTCCTAATGGGAAATTTGAATAAATTTCCACGAAAAATGTTGTAATTTCATCATACTTAGTTTTCCCTTTTAGTTTGGTATTAGAAATCCCTTTTTGTGTTAGATGATGGGAGTAATTTGACAGTAAGAAGAGAAGACATTTGTCAATAAATTTGTATAAGGTACAGGTCCTTGTTTATAAAATTCAAACTAATATTGGTGAGTCTCAGTTAAACAGTTACTCGGAAAACAAATGAGTTTCAGTTATGTATGGCAAAAGTAGAAATTTCATGACTAGTATGTTTAGAGCAGCAAAAAGGGAATCTAGTTCTTCTGTTATAAGCAATTTCCTATTTAAATCTAAGTTTTGTTGACCTCTGGAAGACATGCTTAAAACATGTCTCTTGTTATCATTGTTAATGATGAATTCTGCTTCATAGCTTGAGCTCATAAAGCAACTAATTTATATAGCAACACGCTTATATAACTCTTGTATAAAAATGTGTTCTTTTTCTCATAGTTGTTACAATGGGAGAGAAATAATGTCTAAAGTTTACATATATTTTTGATGTTGGCAAAGTGGCAAGTCTATGCTTTATTTACTCTTTTATTTCCAAACTCAAGACTTCTTAGATCTCTGAGATTCTAAATTAATAAACATTCTTTGTTTCCATATTAAGAATGAGCCTGGAATGAAGTACTCAAAAGAGAGTCTAGATGCAGAGAAAAGAAAGGATTCTGATAAATCTGGAGCACGTCTGAGTACTCAGGTGAGCTACTTTCTACACCACTGGTGAGAGAAAGCAGAAGGCACAACGGAAAAGAGCAAGTGGGTAGGGGCACTCTGGGAAAGACATGTGAGACATTCAGCTCTGTACTAAGGGATAAGCAACATCTTCATGAAGAGATTAAGCATATGCTCTGGAGAAGCTGGCCTTTGCCTTCCCTCCAGTCCACATCCTCCACGATTCAGCTCTGTACTAAGGGATAAGCAACATCTTCATGAAGAGATTAAGCATGTGCTCTGGAGAAGCTGGCCTTTGCCTTCCCTCCAGTCCACGTCCTCCACTGTCAAGCAGAGTACAAAGTATGGAAATGTCACAGTCTCCTCCAATCAGACCAGGGAGGGAAGGGGATTCTGGCCATCACATTGACCATTTTCTGCACAATCTTTCAGATGAGGCGTACAGGCAATCCGAATCACTCGATGAGATGTTGCCCCATGCGGTATCACTACTCCTGTAGACGCTGCCTTTGTACAGCTGAGGGAACTAGCCCCTGCTGCACAATACGCATTTATATTCACATGGGCCTGTTGTGGGAGCAGGGCCGGCAGATCACCATGATCAGGGTGAGCAGAGATGGAATGACTGATTTGGAAGGGAAGCCCCAGGAAACCTGGGTGGGGAAATGAAGTGGGGAAACAGAAATCCTTCCACTTGCCTCTCCATGGTATCATCAAGAAACAACAGCTGGCAGGCTCTGTGAACTTATGTGTGGCTGTCACAAAGCCCTGCTGCAACTTGGCTTGGGTACCAGCTGCCCTCACCTTTAAAGTATGATAAAATCACAGATACGTAATTTTAACATCAATAGGCTTATATTAGGGAGAAATTGGGGAAAAGAGAAGAAAGATGGTCAAAGCTATTAAGCACCATAGCAGAAGAGTCACTGGTGATAAATTGTGAGCTACCATAATGTTTTCCTAATTTTCAATGCTCTTTTAGGTGATCTCCACTTTGTTACTTTATACAGAAGTTATGATTGGGCCAAAGCAAGAGAAGTACACAAGGATAAAGGGTGAATGAGAGGTCATAGAGACCAGGGGTCTTTTCATTGGTAGAGGATGTTTTTAGTCTGAAATGGTTAATCTGTAGGCACATGCACAGAGTGAAAGGTAGGGAGTTATACTACTGAGTCTTTTTTCATACGCAGGGATCTCAAGAATTAACTGTGCCCAAAACGGACTCTGGAGGGTACCCGGTGAGAAATCAATGGTCTCGAACATCACAGAGCCCACTCACCAGGGCTCCATCAGTAGACGAGCCCAGAAGCAGGAACACTGTTGTTAAGGTAGAGCTAAGTAAAAATATCTTATTATCAATTGATATTTGTTTAAATGCCCAGATCCTGTTCTATATACTTTACTTGGCTTTTAGCTAATTTAGCTGTTCTAGGACTTCTCAGATAATCCCAAATGTACCACTGAGAAAACTAAACCAGAGTAACCTGAGGAAGGTTTCATATTGCTAAGTGGTAGAGATTAGATGTAAACACAGCCATTAAGTCTAGAGGCTGCAAACTCTGCTTCCTTCTTTCATCCATGCACCAAATATAATTGAGTACACAAGGCTCTCAAAGAGGGTATTAAAAAATGAATGAAAGAGAAAAATTAACTAGCATTAAATTGTGTGTGATTTGGGCCTTAACTAAGCCTGACCACATAAGCAAAATTATACACAGATATGAAAATATATAAACATATAATATATAAATAGAATTTTGAGATTGTTTTCAGAGGCAGGGAAAATAACATTCCATGATCTAATATATATTCATATCCCATCCATCCATATCCTGTCAGGTTTGCTTCAATAATCCCATCCACACATGTGAGACAAGCATTAAAAACTGAAATAATATTTAGATGCTTAAACAATTTTTCAAACACCTTACTTAATAAGGTGATTCCTTCTTTTGGGTGGTGCCTTCTTAGGAAGACAATTCTCTGCCATTCAGTTGGCATACCAAACTTTGAAGACACATGATTCTCCAGCCTTCTGAACAACCCCATCACTATTCACAGGGTAAACAGGGTGAGAGAGGCTCTTAGTAAGGGAAAGTGTTCCAGTGCCAATTTCTAGTCCACTTTGTGCATGGAGTTAACTGGAGTCACTGACTAAAGCAAGTCAGATTCAAGCTGTCTGATCTGTCTAGGGGGTCTCAGAGAGGTAGGTGTATGGCAAGCATAAGAAATTTAGTGAATTCGTCCTGCTGTATAAGGGTAAAGAAGAGAACCAGGGTCCTATTTACTCAAAATCAAAAATGGAGGTGCATGGGTGAGATGCTGATGAGGGTCGGGTTAAGAGACAAGAGGTGACAAATCTGTCCGTGTAACAGAAATCTGGGTAAAGGAGCTAGGATAAATCAGGACTCATTGACGGTCTAGGAATGGGCTATACAAGAGTAGATAGCTCTGAGTTGGGAGCTGTGGAGACTCGGATAGGAATCCCCATGGGCCTGGACCTCAATCACCCATCTCTTGCACAGGCCCCCAACAGCTCCAGCACCTCCCTGACTTCATCTGCCTCCCCCAGCCAGCATGAGTCTCCTCCACTGCAGGAATTGGAGAAGCTGGTGTCACCACAGAACACCCAGATACAGCCAACTGCGGTGGTTGAATCCCTGCCTCCCACGCCCCCTGAGCTGGAGCCCAGCCCCGGAAGAGCTCTAGGCGGTATGATCCCAGTGACTCCTCGCCACACAACCTCACGAGAGAACTCCGCCAGGACCCTAGAGACTTGCAGCTGCGGGACTATGCGCACAGCTGCGACTCCCAAGAAGGAATCTCCAAGACGCGGGAGTATCCTCGCACGCCTCCAACTGAATGGAAGTCCTACGACCAGCGGCGTCTGCAGTATTCCACTTCTGTGAAAGTCGACCATGACTGCATGTCTGAAGTGCAGCAGTGGCAGCGGCAGCAGCAAGAGGAAGATGAGGTGGACGAAGCCTATTGGTCATCTGTGAGCATGCTATATGAGAAGATCCCGAGCTGCGCACGTCCCAGGCCGGTGAGGATCCAAGGTCTCTGGCACCCCTGGACACCCCTCCTCCAGTCCCGCAGCTTCCCTAGTGCCCATAGCACTGGAACGTCCGTCCCATGTCTTCCCACCCCAGAACCTCCTGCATCCTCACTGTTTCTGTATGTGTGTGTGTGACTGTCCTCTCCTTGCCTTTCTCTGCAGCCCAAACCCAAGCACGCCATCACCATTGCTGTCTCTTCCCGGGCACTGTTCAATATGGTGGATGACAGGAAAATCTATGAAGATGAAGGTCTGGAAAAGTACATGGAGTATCAACTCACTAATGAGAACGTCATCCTGACCCCCGGACCTGCATTCCGCTTTGTCAAGGTATTCTGTAAGATGTTTTTGGTCCCCACGGGGACCTTGGATGACAAGTGCAGGTGCTATGGGAGTTATACAGTTTGAGTGATAATTACTGTATTCCCCTTACTATTCTCACAGCGACCCAGTTGACCAAGTCTGGTTTCACTTTCACAAAGACTTCAGGAATTGGTGGGAAAAAGACTTTTCAACCTGAATCTAGGACTGGGATTTGGGCTTTCTTAAATGGAATCCAGGTCACCTGACCTCTTATAGAACCCAGTTTCTTCCTCCACTGAAGGAGTGCTAGGAAGTAACACTGAGTTTACCATTCTGAGGAGCAGAAATAAAACGCCTTATTAAAATAAGATCGATTCACCTATTCTGGCCCAAACAGAGCCTAGTTAAAAAATCAAGAAGCTTCTGGAATGTGTACTGAGTTTAGTACTGATCCTCTACATAAGTTATAGGACTATTACTCACATAGCCAGTGAAAACAAATGACACTTCTGTGGGTTGATATGTAGAAGCACTGGGGAAACACAATCTTATGCACGACTCATGTTTAAAAAATTACCAAAGGGCTAGAGAGAAGGCTCAATGATTAACAGCCCTTACTGCTTGCTCTTGCAGAGGACCTGAGCTTGGTTCCCAGCACCCATATAGCAGCTCACAATCTCCATAACTGCAGCCCCAGGGAATCCAAACCCTTCTTTTGGACTCTGTAAGGCACCTTCACTAATATGTACACACACACACACACACACACACAATTAAAATAAAATAAGTCTTTAAAAAAGTAAATTATTAAATTAAAAACAAAGCTCTGTTATGCCACACATATTTAAAAAAAAGAAAAGAAAAGAAAAACACCAAGATGATCAGTCTGTTCTCTGTGGATCGATGATATGGAATTTTTCTAAATTCCCAAAGCATCTCATATTTTTCACAATAAAGGTTGATTTTAAAATCTTAACATAGGCAAACCACAAAAGGGCAAAGCATAAAAGGGCTACTCTGAAATTCTTTTCTATCTACCCCTGAGTTCATTCTAGTAAACAGAATATTATAACAACTTCCATTAGACATTATCCATCTGTGTAGTGGATACTGAGGCCCATGTATAGGAGGCAGAAAATACAGAAATGATGACATAACCATGTCCTAAAGGTGCAATAATTTCTCAGTCAGGATTGTGTGCAGCTTGATTCTGACCCTGGTGACCTGCTTTTCCTCCAGTCTCATAACACCAGCTTTCCCTGCTCCTCTTTATACACACCCATGTTTGTAACCTGCAGGCGCTGCAGCATGTCAACTCTAGACTCCGTGAGCTATATCCCGAAGAACAGGACTTATTTGATATTGTACTGATGACTAATAACCATGCTCAAGTGGGAGTGCGGCTTATAAACAGCGTCAATCACTATGGTAAGTAAAATAAATACCATGTGGAAGACCAGCTCACAGCTCTGCACAAGAGAAGCCATGTTATTTCGCTATGGCCTAAACCAATGCAGTGTCTTTGATACTGACACCCCCTTTCTGTGTGAGGAATGTTTATTTGCCTATGTCAGAACAAGAAAGACCATGTTCATTTTTAACTTCAGCACAGAGCTGGGCTCAAAGCTCTGGACTTAACTTGTCAAGTGTGAATTTCAAAGTCTTAATCCCAGGTCCTCAATATATTTCTGTTTTATGTTTTTCACTTCTGAACTTGACTTCAAGGAGCCGTCAACCTAGAGGCTTTCTCTGTGGGATCAAGCTTCTTGTTCACCATAGATCCATGTTGAGGGTTTAAAGGTTTTCACCTCCCCTTTCCACTCTTATCATTGGATGCTCCCAGCTGCTCTCTCTCCCACACACAAATCCATACTCAAGCCAGCACAATTGTCTTTATTGCTTTACATGGAAAATTTCATTGGTTCTGGTCTCCAGAGCATTTCCATTAATGTGTCACTTTCTTGTAAAGTTTCCATCATTTTTCCTACTAGGAAATTACAACATCCTCTTTGGGGTACCATTATCTTGTTTTCTAGTAATGGACCTAGTAGTTATGGGTATGTCAAGTCAAAATCAGGTTTAATTGTATGCACTGAATTTCTTCATTTAAATTAGGCATAATTATAAATATTCAAGATATGATACTGATATATTACAAATTTATTTTTATTATTTCATATTATTCTAATTATGTATCTGAAATATATTTTAATAATATAGCCCTTATAATGTTATGAAGTAAAAAGAGAAAATGTATGCCAGCAGTTCTGTGGGGTATTTTATCACTCAGTAAATGAAAACTTATTTTTATACTTTCTATTTGTTTTGAGATAGCATTTTGCTATGTAAGCCCAGGCTAGTCTTGAACCCATTCCTCAGCTTTCAAATGCTTGGATTGTAGGCATGTACCATTATATTTGGGCCTGGAAACAAATGAGACACAGAGATTTAGTAGGTGGCACAGGTCTACCTTTCCCTCATTATGCTGAACCCACTGAGGCCTCAGGAATCACAGTTGCCTATATACAAATTTTGCTGAAGAGCCAAATGGGACAAACTTCTCATATAGCTTTATTCAAGGAACAAACCCTTTACCTTGGAAGAATTAGTTATTTCCCTGTCTGGGTACTGAACATAACTCATGTCTGTCTCTGCTGTGACCTTTGTTAACATTTTCATGCCTGGCTTCACAGTGAACTGGCATCTCTTTGCAGAAAAGGCCTAAGTTTTCATTCATTTCTTAAGTCCTAGAGTCAGCTCAGAATTTCCAGATTATATTGATATTACTTAAAGATTCATAGAGTTGGAGAGATAGCACAGTCATTAAAAGCTAAGGCTCACAACCAACACATCAAGGATTTATAGAGTCCACCTTTGTGTCACTTGTATCCAGTATTGACTCAGGTGAAAATCTGAGAGAATTTCATTATCATCAAAGTAAACGCTTCCACCTACACTGTCGACCTATGGTACCTTGGTCCTTCAAACACAGTTTGCTTTATACTTAAGATAGCTACAAAGATTAGCATAAATCTAAGTCTTTGAATATGCATATAACATTTTATCATATACATGATGTTGTCACATCAATGGATATATTTTGCTTTCAAAAATAATCTAGCCAGGCATGGTGGTTCACACCATTAATCCCCGTACTTGGGAGGCAGAGACAGGCAGATCTCTGTGAATTCAAACCCAACCTAGTCTACTTAGCAAGTTACAGGCAAACTGGGGTTACAGGGGAGACCTTATCTCAAAAAAAACTTCTGGGTTCAGATCTTTCTATATGAATCTTACTACAATTTCATATACTTAAAACACCTGAAAAAAAGAATTCTATGTTTGAAAGTATAAACCTCTAAAAACTCTTAAGTGATATCATTAGATCACTTTTCTCAGTTTGAGGTTTTTGGGTTTTTGTTTCTTTTGATCCTACTGGGATCAAACCTAGGACCTCACGTGTGATGGCCAAGCTCTCTATCACTGAGCTACATTCCCAAGTTCATTAAATCACTTTCTAGACAACTTGTACCAATTTATACTTTCATCCATTGTATATGTGTGTGCAATTTTACAAACATCTCTCTAGTAATCAATGTCTTTCTAATTGTTTATTGGAATGCAATCATATATTGTTTGTGCCTAGTGGCATAGGGCTTTTCGGAAGGTTGAAGATAAAGGATCACCACAGGTTTAAGACCTTTGTGGGCTATATAGTAAGCTGAAAGCTAGTACAGGCAATTTAGCTAGACCCAGCCTGAGAATGAAAAAAAAAACTGTTTAAAGGTTCGAGGATATAGTTCAATGGTAGAATGTTTGTCTAGAGGGTGTGAGGCCCCATATTCAGTCCCTAGTACTGAAAACAAATTAGAAATACAGAGCACAAAACTGTTGATTATGCTAATGGATTCAAATGTTCAAGTTAAGAAGGAGTAAAAATTTCACATTGTTTTTAGAAAATAATTTAAGTGCTGGAACTACTTGTTATTACATTGCATTGTTACTAAAAAATGCAGAAGTGTACTTAAAATAGTCCCTATCTTAATGGTCCCTTTCAACAAGCGAGGAGGAGGCTGTATAGTACAGATAAGAGTCAGACATGTGAGCTAAAGTTTGCTCTATGCAAAGTTAGTTTAAAGTTTGTGGATTAGTTAAGTTTTTGCTTCTCAGAATCCTTTTTTATAGTGAAATTAATACCCACCATCCAGTTCCAAGAGTAAATTGCCAATAGTCTATATGAATATGCTCATAAACTATGGTGTGTCAAACATACTCCCTCTTGTGTGAAGTAAATTTTTCAATGTTGGTTCTATGAAATTAATTTTCAATCTTCATTTACTTCCAAGGTAACTAACTTTCATTTAGATCTATGAATGAACTTGCTTAGATTTATTCATAAACTCAATTGTTCTGATAGTGACTTTAATTTGGATCTATAATATTTGTTTTTATCTTTAGTTTGGATGATAATAAGCCTTTCTTGCCTGGTAACAGGTTTATTAATTGACCACTTCTGTTTGATCTTTAATTTGGATCTATAATATTTGTTTTTATCTTTAGTTTGGATGATGATAAGCCTTTCTTGCCTGGTAACAGGTTTATTAATTGACCGCTTCTGTTTGACGGGTGGAAAAAGCCCCATTGGCTATCTGAAGGCATATCTCACCAACTTGTATCTTTCTGCAGATTCTGAAAAAGTCCAAGAAGCAATAAAAGAAGGTAATAGTCTGGTTTTCTACCTCTAGCTCATAAGGTCTTCACTGATGGTTAGTTGCCTTGGGTTTCAATAGAGTTAGGTAGCTTAGCTCTTACTAGGTCCTCTGCTAAGGCGTTTATACATTTGACAGTTATTATTTTTGTCCTGCAGAGCTTTGATCTCCCTTAAAGGGGACACTTTTGGTGATCGTTTCACAACACATTTCACAACTCCTATTACTATAGAAACAGAGTCAGTACATAAACATCTGTGCTGAAACATGACATTGTGAAGAAGAGTGGGATCATATGGTAATAGCTAGAGAACATCACAATTGAGAAGATTGTTTTAACTAAAGTAAAAACCTATAGCCTTGAGCAGAGTGCTAATAAATACCCATGATCTGCAGGCATTGCCTCTGCAACCATGTTTGCTGGAGCCAAAGACATGGCTTACTGTGACAAACAGCTCCGCGTGGCCTTTGATGGGGATGCTGTTCTCTTCTCTGATGAGTCTGAACATATTGCCAAGGAGCATGGGCTGGACAAATTCTTTCAACATGAAACATTATTTGAAAATAAGCCTCTTGCTCAGGTAAGTTCACTGAGTTCAATATTCATCTGCTGGTCTTTTAATGTATTAACATCAGTATTGTTTGCTGTGATAGCTTTTAAATTATTTTAGGCAACCTCCCTACATTCAATTTGCATTTTCTTTCTTTTTTTGTAAATTCCTTACTTTGAAACATCTACTGCTGAGAACCATGGTTTTAAAGTTTAACTTTTATTTATAGTTCTGGAAATACTTCTAAGATCTTCTCTTGATAATGAGTTAATCCTCTGTTATCTGTTATTGGTAACAGATAACATAGCTTACCATTGATCCATTTCAGATTCATAAGTTCTCAAAACAGTAAGGTCATTTCTAAAATATTGCTCAGGAAGTTTTTTCTGTGTCTCTCAATATGTGACCCTAAATTCAAGAAAGACATCACTTAACTAAGAAGACCAGCAAGACTGAGAGCCTGAATCCAGTCAATTAGCCTCAAATAAGAGCAAACTATGAACATCCATTATAAACTAAAGTAAAATACTTAGGCTTTAAAAAATTTCAACCCATGAACTGGAATCTTAAAAATCAAGATCTGAAATGAACATCTGAACCAAAGGAAATATGAACATCAAAATGTTCTCCAAACTGAATCTGAACTGAAGGATGGGTTCAGTTTTACTTTGTGAAGCTGCTCTGTATAATGCAGAGAGGACCTGCCTGCCCTGTCCCTGGTCTTTAGGGGACACTTAGTCTTTCAGTCTTCAGTAAGCGATCTACAGGTTATTTTCTTAGATCCTTTGTCAAATTGAGAGTGCTAGCTCCCATTCTAGATTTATGAGAGTTTTTATAATAAATGGATGTTGAATTTTGCTTGATGCATTTGTGCCCATTTATGGAGAAAAATCAAATGTTTATTGAGGTCACTGATATGCAAATTCATTAGAGAATTTTAACATGTTCATGTTGTTCTGCACTACTTGTACATTCAAGCTGGTCTTATGGTATGGCTCATTGTATGTATTCCTGGATCCAGTTTGTTAAAATTTAGAAATTTCTATCTTCATGTCTATAGTGTACTTGCAACATTTTACTTTGGAAGTAATACTGATCTCACAAACTGCATTGAAAATTATTTAAATGTTTAGTAGGCCTTTCTAGACAAGCTAGCCGAGCATGGATGTTTTTGTCTTTTGAAAGTTTTTAAAAATTGCTAGAGTGTGTGTAATGATGGGAGGAGGAAGGACATACGTGCCATGGTGCACATGTGGAAGTCAGATGACAACTTTGTGCAATCAGCTCTCTCCTTCCACCTTTATGTGGCTTATGGGTCTTCAGAAAAACTTAGTTTTTCAGGTTTGTGTAGCAAGTGCTTAACTCACTGAGCCATCTCACCCGCCCTTGAAAGTCTTTTAAACTAACAATTTAATCAGTATGGAATTACTATTCAGATTTTTCTTTGTGTTCCTCTGTCCATGCCTTTCTTCTGTTTATGAGTTTGTGGTTTTCAAAGAATTTGTCCATTTTGTCAGTTTTATAACCACAAACATTTAAATGTTTTATTATGCCTTGAATCTTTGTAGAATCTTTACCGTGGTTTCTTCAAATTTCATTTTTGATGTTAGTAATTATTGTTAGTGTATTGTTTTTGATCAATCTTGCCAGATTTGCCAATTTTTTAAATCTTTTCAATGAGGCATCTTTTCCTAAAATTTTTAATATAAAGGCTGAGGTCACAGATTAGTTTCTTTTATTCTTTTCTAAATCAAGAATTTTAGAGCTATAAATCTTCAGGCACCTATAGTTTTATCCCTCATAATTTTAAAATGTTGTCATTTAATTATAATTCTAAATATACTTTAATTTCTCTGTGACTTCCACTCTGATCCATGGGATAGTTACTATTAGGTTACTTAGTTGCCAAATATTTGAAGATTTTTCATATATCATTTTGTGATGCCCATATGTTCAGCATTATTACACATTTTCTTCATAATACATGAATCCCTTTATATTTTATAATACTCCTCTATCTAATATTTATATAATCATTCTACTTTTTGTAGACTACCTTATCTCTATTTTGATTTATATTTAACAGATATATATATATGCATATAATACTTGGAGTTGCTTTTCATACAACTGAAAAATCACTATTTTTAATTATTGACTTTAGGGTATTTAAGTGTAATGGAATGATTGCTTTGCCTGAATTAAAAACCTGCTATCTTCCAACTTTTCTGTGTTCCATCTTTTAATTTTTTGCTTCTAGATTAGGCATTGTGTTTCAGACTCATCTTCATTTCCACTAGCAATAACTAATATTTTCCCCATGGTTATACTAAGGTTTATAATATACAGCTTTACATAACCTTGCTAATGGGTCAATTAATATTATTGCACACCCTATGTGGTATGAGAACGTTACAACAAATCACTCCCAAACTCTCCCTACTTTATTTTGTGCTTTTGTTTCATGTTTTAATTTTATCTACATTATCTTAGTAAGTCACAATACCTTGCTATTATTTTTGTTCTTAGGTAATCAGTTATCTTTAGAATGAATAAGGATGAGACAAAAATGGGTCTTTTATGTTCATTTTCATTTTAACAATTGCAAATCATCTCTTTAGAAATTCATGTGAGACATATAGGCACTAAATATTGTTTTTATTTGCCTGAAAATTCTGTTTCTTTCTCATTTTAAAACAAAAAGTCTATTTTATTTTCACTTGTTCTAGCATTCTGGGTTAGCGTCAGCGTCCCTTCACCCTTTTAAGATGCCCTTCCATTGTACAGATTCTGATCACAAATGTTTTGGGTTTTGTCTACTTTGATCCTCTGTATATGCTATGTCTATTTTTCTCTGCCCATCTTTAAAACTGTTTTCCTTTGCTTTGGGAAGTTGGAATACAAGGTGTATATTTGTGTGTGTGTGTGTGTGTGTGTGTGTGTGTCTCTGTCTCTCTCCCTCTGTCTCTGTCTGCTTCTCTCTCTCTCTCCCTCTCTCTTTCATGATGTGTCCCACAGCAATTCAGTGTTTTGCCTGTTGTCTCTATATTTTCAGTCTATGTGATTTTATTTATTGTCCAGTTATTCCTTTTCTTAATTATGTAGAGTCTACTGATCTATCAGTTGATGGCATTCTTCATTTCTGTATAGCAATTTTTATTGCTAGCATTTTATTCAATACATCTTTTTCAGTGTCTTTGCCAAAATTACTATTGCACTCATGTTTGTTGTCTAGTGTTAAAGTAGACTTTTGTAGATAATACTAGTTGTTTTCGGTCATATGTATCACTGTCTAAATTCTATTAATGCCTCTTGTACATAGATTGTTCTTTTTCTTCTGTTTTATTGTGTTCTACACATATTATTTGATTATCAGTTATAGTATACAACTGTGGAAGGTTTACTAAATAGTCTTCAGGCCTGCTAATTGGTATACCTTCTCTTCTAACTACTGAGATGGACTGAATCAATCTAATAAAAAGCTCAGCTAGTTTTAGATATCATTGTCTTGGCTTTCTTCATTGTATCATGACTTCACATTCTCCTTCTAAAGGTACAGACTGGTTTGCCCAGGACTTCTTCTCAATCTTCAGCTTTAGGGCTTGTGAGACTGTGCTCAGATATTAATTTCTGAACTCTGAGCCCTGTCAGCTGTTTCTTATCTCTGCTTGCTTCATCTCCCTATAATTTAAGGATGAATATCTGAATCCTGCCTGTCTCCCAGTGATAGGAGTTGCCTTTCAGACTGGGTCCAGACAGCTTCTGTGTCTAAGAACAGAATGCATTTGCTTTCCCCAGTAACAGTGGATCTTTATATGGAAAATAATTGTTAAAAGCCCTTCTATCAGTTTAAACCTTCTGTTCTCAAGGTACAAGAGAGTAGGACAAGAGTCTGTGTTTTCCTAAAGGTAGCTGCTTCCTCCCCAGAGTTTGTTGGAACCAAGGATGGCTTCGTCTGTATCCTTCCCACGAGCTGTCCTCATGAACACAGAGCAAAGCTCACAGAGAAAAGCCTAAGAGTATGTACTTCTTATGTCTGTAGATCACAGGGCTGTCCTTCATCAGTTTGTTTTTAATTTCCTCAATTTTTCATACTTGCTTGTGCAGTGTCTGGTATTTCCTTCAATTATCTGCAAAGGTGTGCCAGTCTTGCATTCCACCAGTCCTTGGAGGGTGCCTGCTTTTTCTTAGATTCCAGGTTAGTTGACTGTCCTTTGATCTCATCTGTCTGATGTACTGAAGTTATGATTTGTTCCAAATATCCAGGTTTTTATTGTTATTACAAAAGGAAAAATAGGGCTTTTTTAGCTTTCTACATCTTAAGCAGATGCCAAATGTTTTAAATCATACATATCACCAGCAAGATGGCTCAGCTGGTACAAGGTGCCTGTTGCCAAGTCTGATGACCTGAGTTTGATCCCTGAGAACCCCCCACATAGTAGAAAGAAAAATTGACTCCTAAAAGTTGTCCTCTGACCTCCACAAACAATGTGGCATTTTCATGCCTATGTACACACATGAACTTAAAAAAATCAATATTTAAAAAGTAAAAAATCAAATCACAGTCTTCTGATTTTTCCTAACATTCCTATATTTTATTGATAAATACTTTTACCAGTATACAGATGTGTAAATTATAGAACATACCCAAAACTAGAATTAAAAGGTGACTGCTTCCCAGTATGCATATGGTAACATAAGTTCAGCATTCTCCTTTCTTCCTTCTGCTAAGTACTCAAAGAACTGAGCCCTCTGTGTTTCAGAAACAATGTGTGACCAGGATGTCTCCTGCATACAAGAGCTAAAGAAGCTCTGCTATCTCATGCCCCTCCGCAAAAAAAGTCTAAAAGTTAGTTTTTAACTGTATGGATTTCTCTTGTCACCTTTAGGAAAAAAATTAGTTTCTCTCTCTCTCTCTCTCTCTCTCTCTCTCTCTCTCTCTCTCTCCATAACCAAATAAATGTTCTCGCAAGAAGCCATGTTGTCATGGTTGCAGAGCCTTTGAATTTTTAAAACAAGCTAATCTTTGAGTACCATCCTTAACCATCCCCAAAAGCTTCATTCGTTTTGAGGTAATCTACTTAAATACAAGTTTTAAAAAACAGTATAAAACACAAGCAAAGATGCTAAGTAAAAAGGACTGAAAAAAGAAGAGAAAAATTTAGGAACAAAGAATTGTCATTAGAAAAAGTCATCACACTACAAAGTTTGTGACTGAACATTCACTTTGACTTTTTTTTCTTAATTTTACTTATTATTTTTATTTTATGTGTATGCGTGTATTGCCTGTATGTAGGTAAGTGCACCCATGTCGTGCAATTCCCATGGCGGTCAGAAGAGGCTGTCGGATCCCCTGGAACTGGAGTTATGGACAGTTGTTAGGGGCCATGTGAGTGCTGGGATTCGAACCCTGATCTTCTACAAGAACAACCAGTGTTCTTAACCACTGAGGCATCTCTCCAGTCCCCACTTTGACTTTTAAAAACATAGTAAACAGAGTCATAAATTAGATATTCAATCAGGGAAGGAAAGACAAAGTATGAAATGGTAGAATTCAGGAAGTGATAAAAATAGAAGATAGTATTTTAGAGAGAAAAATGACAGAAACAGACCACAGGTAAAGAGTAGCTAACATATGCATAAGTGCAATTCCTTAAGAGAGTCATTGAAATGATTTTGGATATGGTGTGGATGGATAAAAATTTCTAGAAAATAAGAGTCAAAAAATTCTTGAATATCAGCTCATCATGCACACATTAAATCGTTAAAATAATTTGAAACCTTTCTAAAGATTCACATTATCTATAGGGTAAATGAGCCAGAACAACCATTTGCCCGAAGAGGAATAATTCTTTGAGCTGTCTGTCAACAGAGACCAGTCACTGCAAAAGGTAGGCAAGCAAGGGAAGGCTATCCAGCTACACTTAAACTACTTAAATAGTTGCACTCAATGGCAAAACACTTATTTATAAGAGTTATTCAGAGAAAACATAAATTATGAAGTCTATATCTAGACAAAAGTTCATTCAAGTGAAGAGGAAATATCTAGCTATTCAGGTGAGAATATGCTAAAATCTCAGATTATTTCCATAAGAATTTGTATTAAGACAACTAAGTACTGCACAAGAAATTTTGATGAATATTCCCATGATTGTATGCACTGAGATTCTAATTAGCATATAATATATTTCACCATGGATTTAAACTTAAAACAATGGTAAAGACCAGGGTAATATAGAAAAATGAAGCAATATTATGTCTTAATGTAGAATTTATATGGCTAATGAAAAATAGCAATACTGAGAAAAAAACAATCTATGTAGTAGGTATATTGACATCTTCAGTTAAGACAGGCAATGAAAGAGTAAAATGTAGTTGGTATGTAATAACATAGTATTTAGTAATGCAAATTTAAACACAAAGGAAAATTAAATGACTGTAATTAAATGGTGATTAAGTAGACAGAGAAGTTTTGAGAAAATACCTTATTGTCTGTATTTTTCATTGTAAGCCAAGCTTGGAATCCCTAAATTGCAATCTTAGGCCTTGGTAGCCTGAGGATATGAGGATCACAAGTTCAAGCCCAGTCTGGACTGCATAACAAAACCTGTCTCAAAAACAGTCAAACAAAAAGAATAACAGACATAGGGATTTTAAAACATAGAATACTGAGGGTAATATAGAAACTTACAGTTGTAAAAGGTAACCAGTAGAAGGAAATAATGCACATTTTCTTAAGCGTCAAAAGAACCACTCATAATCACAAGAAGCAGGACTTTTTAGTGAATAATCCTTTAAAATCTTTACACCTAGAAAATGCAAAAGAAGAAAGCCTCACAAAATAGAACCAATATCAATATTTGTAATATGAATAAATGTAAACAGACTAAAATTCAACTACTTTTTTAAAAATTAAGATTTTCAAATTGGATCACATCCCCCAAATAGCAATTTGGTGCTCTGTGCAAGAGTTACAGCTAAAAGTGTTTAGAAAGGTCAAAAATAATACTCTGAAGATTTGTTAAAAAATTACAAATATAAGACAGGGTTGGATTTGGGCCAAAAAATTTTAGCCATATAAAGTGAAAATAACTTTAAAGGCAAAATGTACAATTAACAAAATAAAAGCAAAAAAATAGTGTCTTGATGAGCAAGTGAAACTCATCTCTCCCAATTGTAAAGCATAGTTTATGCCCATTGTCCTGGCCTACTGATTTACAGAACATTCTTTCACACTTAAAATACCTTGGTTCAATAAATTATTTGGTCATCCTAGGTTTATTCCAGAAACCCAAAGGCAGTACTGCATATCAGTAAATATCTACACGGAAATATTTACAGGAAGTTTAATGTTGCAGGAAGTTTTAATGTTGTGCATTCAGCTCAGAATCACTGTGTGACACACAATAGCATGTGTTTCGTGAGGTCATATGACCCCGCTTTGCGGGTAATCATTTTTTGGCTTACTGATTCAAAGTTGTGACTTTTTTTTTCAGGGTCCCTTGAAAGGCTTTCTGGAAGATTTAGGCAAACTGCAGAAGAAATTTTATGCCAAAGATGAACGTTTACTTTGTCCACTTAGAACCTACCTGGTTACAGCTCGAAGTGCAGCCAGTTCAGGTGCCCGTGTGCTGAAGACCCTTCGTCGCTGGGGTCTAGAGATAGATGAAGCTCTTTTCCTTGCTGGAGCCCCCAAAGGTCCTATCTTGGTGAAGATCCGGCCTCACATCTTCTTCGATGACCAAATGTTCCACATTGAATCTGCACAGAAATTCGGCACCACCACAGCTCACGTACCTTATGGCATTGCTCAAAAACACACCTAGGGATGGGGAGAATAAACAGTGACAGTATGGTATTTCAAGAAGCACTTGTTTTGGGTGTCTAGAGTCATTAGGAATTTCAGAGGACTGGACCTCAGAACTTAGCTCCCTTGGAAAGGTTTATTCGTTTGGTTTATACATTAAAAAAAAAAAAGAAACAGAAACATTTTGAATTATCAAACTATTGAGTTTGTAAAAAGCTATTACACCTGACTGTGTAAGTCATAATGATAGTGCTTTAGATAAGCATAGAACTTGAATGCTTAGAGTTGTTTCAGAAGCTTAATTTACAAAAACGTTGTTCATTTTTTAAATATTAGATTGAATTTTTGCCCAGAATAGCGGTCCTCAAAGATGGAAAATAGTTTTATATCTATATCTAATCTATACATCTATCTATAGCTAAGTACACGCCTGAAAACTAGAACTTCATACTTCGTTGTCTCTGTGACAAGCCTCTTAACCAATTCAAAATGAGAATGTCCCTCAGTCTGCCCGAGTATACCAACTTGACACTGTTCATTTCGAAATAAATCTGCTGGTGGTTTCCACAGAGTAGTTTCTAAGAGGAACTTTAGACCAAGCTGCCCTCTAGAGGGAAACTACAAGTCCCAGCAAGCCCCGCGCGCAGCAACCGGGGGCCAAAGGCCGCGCCCCAGAGTCCTTCGCGCAGGTGGCTGCTTGGGCTGCGGATCCCTAGCACCGGATCCCGAGTGCCCACGGCCCGGAAGGGTATGGCTGTGGCTACCGCGGTGGCCCTACTAGCCGCACTGGGCGGGGCGCTGTGGCTGGCGGCCCGACGGTTGAAGGGGCCCGGGGTCCGGCAGCTGCACGGAGGCGGTAACCCGAGCCTCATGCACGGGAAGACTGTGGTGATCACTGGGGCCAACAGCGGCCTGGGCCGCGCTACAGCCGCAGAGTTGCTGCGCTTGGGCGCGAGGGTGATCATGGGCTGCCGAGACCGCGCGCGCGCCGAGGAGGCGGCGGGTCAGCTCCTCAGGGAGCTCCGCCAGTCCGGGAGCCCCGAGCCGGACGCCGGCGCGGGGGGCGAGCTGGTCGTTAAGGAGTTGGACCTCGCCTCGCTCAGCTCAGTGCGCGCCTTCTGCGGGGAGCTGCTCCAGGTGTGGGGCTAGCGGAGCCCAGCGGCCAGAGGATAGGGTCCTGGCGGCGTGGGAGGGGCCCGAGGCGGGGTGTGACCTTGAGTGGTCCGGAGGATTTCCCGCCCGCTTGCTAGGTCTGAGAAGGAAGAACTGGGAGGGTCCCGAAGGACGTTAATAGCCAGTTTCTGAACTTTTCATTCTGTTCCACGAGGACAGCTCGGCAGTCATCCCTGATCTCTGAATTGTTCTCTTGTGTCAGAAGTGAAGATTGCCGTGCCTTCTGTCACGGCGCTCTAGAGGCTAGCCAGGAACCTTATCAGGGGCTTTGACTTTTTTTTCTCATTTTCTTTCTTCCTATTCCTGTTTTTTGTTTTGTTTTTTCGTTTGCTTTGCTTTTGTTTCTGTTTTGTCCTACTGAGATAGGAGGGGCGTGTCTCTTGCTGCCACCTTTGCACCATCCCTAACCGGACCCTAACCCTGATTCCCAAAGAGAATGGAACTTAAAATCCTATTAGTGGTCCCAACAGACAGGAATGAGAATAATATCTTGCCTAGCATTGTGGAAGACTTGATGCATGCCAGATTAGCCAGGTACGTTTCTAAATGAAAATACCATCTTTGGCTGTTACCACGTCTTCACGATAAACTTATAAAGTAGGCATCAGTACCTCCGTTATAGCTGAGGAAACAGTCCCTTGAAGGCTAATTAACACTTGTACTTGGGGTCTTCAGCATCTTTGCTTGAACTCTGTTCTGTACTCCTGGTGCTGGGCAGTGAGGTGTGAGATTTCCTTGAGTGGAAGGAGGTTCTCCACTAAGGTAGAAGCCTCTGTTGTACTAAAGTAGAGCTCTGGCCAAGTTGGTTTGCCAGAGGGAAGTCTGAAGGTAGCAGCATAGCAAAAGTACTTGTCAAAATGGAATCCCTTGAACCTAAAACAGAAGTCCCCAAAACTTTTCTCAGTAATTTTCTCATGACAGCTTTAGGCCAAAAGAAATATCTCCCAAGTTCATTTGTTAAGTAGATCTAAGCAACCTAAGAAGTATTTATATCCTAACAGTTCACTAGCTATTTGAAAAAACAAAATTCAAAGAAAAAATGTATCTTAGCTATGTTTATTAATGGAAATGTGTGCCTGTTGGTCACTGTAGTAACTTTTCCTGCCCAGAAATGAAATTGGACAGTCACCCTCTTTTCTTGCTTTACATAAATTTTTAGCCTTGCTCTTGCCTTAAATGACAGTAGCTGCTAATGACAGCTAAAAACTCTGCTGTACAAAGTGAGGAACTCATCAAAAGAGGTCACAGTGTACACTGATGCTGTGAACCACCCAGAAAACTGAACCATGCAGGGCTAGTAATTCTGGAGATTTGGAGAAGTACCCCAGCTTCCCTCAAAAAGTTAAACTTCCACTGCAAGCTAGGAGGTTCCTGCTACTTTGTTCTAGAGCATTTTGTTGCATATTAAAGACTCAAAGACTTGGTGTTGTGGTATTTCATTAGCATGTAACAAGTCAAGGAGCCAGGAGATTTTTGAAAGCATCAAAATTAGGTCATTCTGTTCCCTGCTGAAACATAAATAGAATGTAAATAGGGTTGGGCATGCTTCTCCCTTGTACCTTTGATTCTTTGGTGTTTTAAAGCAGAACCAATAAAAAGTAAGGGCACAGAGAGGTGACTAAGTTGTTGTCCTAAGTGCTTCTTGCTTGACCCTGAAGTTTAGTGACTATAATTAGAAAGGGAAAAAAATGGAAGTGTAGATATTTTACTGGTTGGTATTCTTGGTATTTATGACACTTATCTCCTAGAATTTAAAAAACTAGTAAGTGATAAAGTCTTAAAACAACACAAACCTAGCAAAGAATGATGTTCAGAAATGATTAATTCAGAAAACCTTTCCAAAGGATTAGTAAAGACCAACACTCCTTTTTTCCCCATCAATGAATTCCTGCCTTCTTTTTGAAGTTGACTATTGGAAAACCTAAAGGTTTTTAGACAGGCCAGATGAGAAATAGCGAATCCTCAGACAGGTAGGCTTTGATAACAGCTATGAGAATTAAACACATTTTTCCTTCAGTTACACTTGGCAAAAAAAAAGCCAGTGAGAGTTGAAATTTGGCTTAGAATTAATTTAATCATGAGTCGCCACCATGCCTTTACACCTGGACATGTACATTGCTTTTTCTCTGTCATAAAGAGACAGAGCCAGGAAAGAGCTAGGGAAAACCAACTTGGATGACTTCAGGAGCGAAAAGACAAACTGAGAGAACAGTAAATGTAGGGGAAGATGTAGGGGTTATGGTTACTGTACAAAGCTAACCATATAGGCCTCCTAAGTCAGGGCCCCTTGAAACCTGGAGAGTTTTCATACAGGGCAGAAAAGGCCTGAATTCTAGAATCATAGTAGAGGTTAACCGTGTCAGTTGATCCTAGTTCTTGTGCTTGTTCAACAGTCACCGTGTTGTTGCTAATTTTTTTTTCACTTGGGAGGGCTGTCAGTAGAGACTGCAGCCATGGTTTATTTCAGCTCCGCCTTTTTATACAGAAGAACTCAATTAGTTTCAACAGCATTGCTAATATTTTTATGTTACCTAGACAGTGTTTTTCTTAACTTTTCTTTCTTTGATTTATTTACATTGTCCCCTCTCTAGGTCAAAATTTGAAGCTCTGACCTTGATGTTTGCCACTACAGGGAAATGCCTTGAAGTTATTTTGTATCTAGTGTGACATTTACACTTAGAGGACTACAGAATAAAACAGTCTAAACTTTGCCTTTGGTGGTGATACCAAATAGGTCTGCAAATCTCAGTGCTGATCTGCTGGATGTAGTCTTCCTAACTCACCATGACTCAAGCTCTGCTATGAAAATCCCAGTTAGAAAACTGGGATAGCTTACTAATTCTGAGAAAGGGTGTTGAAGTCTAAGAATTTCATCTTCAGACAGATTGTTTTGGCTCTTAGGAGCTTGGTGACACTGGCTCTGTGTTTCAACTTACAAAATTATTGGAAATAGATGAGGTTATCTGAGGAAAGGACCAGGCCCCAATTAAACATGCAATATTATCTTTTTTAAAAAATTGTACATTTTATGCTGGGCATGGTGGCACACGCCTTTAGTCCTAGCACTCAGGAGGCAGAGGCAAGCAGATTTCTGTGAGATCAAGGCCAGCCTGGTCTACATAGTGAGTTCCAAGCAAGCAGGAGCTACAGTGAGACCCTATCTCAGAAAACTTTGCATATTTGTGTTTGTGTGTGTGTATGTGTATATGTCTGTGTGTGTTTCTCTATTGTTGGAAATATTTTAAGAAAATTGGCAAGGTTTTGTTTGTTTAAGGATGCTTTTATGCATATGATATCTCATGGTAACCCAAAGTTGCTATTTTTCTAGTTCAACTGAAATTAAGAGGAAAAATATGGAATCATAGATCATAGGAGTGCCTCATCCCCACATTCTCTGTGTTTCTGCTTTAAGAAAGACATTGGTGTTGATTAGATAATCAGCTTCTGAGTAAAAGGCCAGAGTTACATGTTTGTAATCATGAAGTTGCAAAAGTAGAAGAGCAGAAACTGTCCTAGAATTGGTTCCCACGTGTCTACCGTCAGATGGCTATGGATAAGTGTTCTCATGTTATTTTAATAACAGGAAAAGAAGCTGTGGAGATCTGAAGGGATTCTCCCTGCAAGGGAATCCCTTTCCCCACTAAAAACAGGATTGTCAGTGCTTTGAATAGTTATCTGATAGGCCATACTTGAAATGAGACACTTTTGGTCTCAAATTACTGTTTTGATTAACACATCTATCATGAATAAAAAGATATATTGAAGGCCTGTATTCATAATTCTGCATTCTCTTTTTGGTTTTAAAGGAGGAGTCGAGGCTGGATGTCCTGATCAATAATGCGGGGGTCTTCCAGTGCCCATATATGAAGACAGAGGATGGATTTGAGATGCAGTTTGGAGTCAACCATCTGGGACACTTCCTACTCACCAATCTTCTGCTTGGACTCCTGAAAAGTTCAGCTCCCAGCAGGATCGTAGTTGTTTCTTCCAAACTTTATAAATATGGAGACATCAACTTTGAAGACTTGAACAGTGAACAAAGCTATAATAAAAGTTTCTGTTATAGTCGGAGCAAACTGGCCAACATTCTTTTCAGCAGAGAGCTAGCTCGTCGCTTGGAGGGAACAAATGTGACTGTCAATGTGTTGCATCCTGGGATTGTGCGGACTAATCTTGGGAGGCATATACACATTCCACTGCTGGTCAGACCACTTTTCAATTTGGTCTCATGGGCTTTCTTCAAAACTCCATTAGAAGGTGCCCAGACTTCCATCTACTTAGCTTCCTCACCTGAAGTAGAAGGTGTGTCAGGAAGGTACTTTGGAGATTGTAAGGAGGAAGAACTATTGCCTAAAGCTATGGATGAGTCTGTAGCAAGAAAACTGTGGGATATCAGTGAAGTGATGGTTGGCATGTTAAAATAGGAACAAGAATAAGAAAGCTATTTTTGAAACTATGTGTTATGTCATTGGTGTTCAGGAATGGTGTGGTGAGGGCAGTTGCTGCTTGAAAATTTTTGCTTTATAGTAATGCTGCTGAGAGGTGTATATGGATATTTGAAGGTTACTGAAGCTGTTTTAGGCTAATATAAGACTTCTGCAAAGATGTTTTAAATATATATCATACTAAAATGAGCAGCACAATTATATTTCATTAAAATTTATAATTGGGCTACTATAAATTACAGATGTTAAAAACTGGTAACTTAAAAATTAAAGTTTTCAAAAACCTTTGAGTTTCATGGCAAAAAATGTTAGCAATTTTTACTTTAATGCTGGTTTTGTGTAGACATAATGTCCTTAGTGTGTACACATAAATTAGTACTTGGAATAAATTTATGGTGCAGATTATTCCATGTGCGTTTCTTAGAAGCATCTCTGAGTGCGGTCCTTTACTCTGTCAGCACTAGCCTTTCTTGGTCTTACTGCCCAGGCTCTTCCTGCCGCGTCTTGTATACTGCTCTGCTCTGAAAACTTGTTTTGAAAACCCAAATCTATTACCTGCTGTTATGTCCCACTTCCAAACCTATGATGGTTTTCCATTTAACCATACATTATGTTTTTTCAACCTCTTTTTTTTTCTTTCCTATCTTAGAATTCTTTATTCTAAGAAGTCTTTTATTCAAATATAGAAGTTGGGTAGATAAATATAGCAGTGCTGTAGGGCTGGAGTCCCTCAAGGCTGCTCCTAAAGGGACAGTATAGAATATTGTAGTTTTTATAAGTCATCCCCACTTAAATAATAGGTTTATTTAAGTTCAGGCAAATGTCTAGTAACTAGCGTCATGGGTGGATTACCCATATCCAGTGTATCTCCAGTCATTCTGTGAGATAACCCAGTCCTGAAGATAGAAGAGTCATCCCTTCCCTTGCCTTTGGGTGTTCCCTTATCCTCCCTTAGTCTAGAATACCCTCCCAGGAACGCTACTTACCTTTTAGGTGTCCATCAAGTGTGCCTGTAGGCAGGAACAATTGTCTTCCCACTGTTTCCCTTGATTTTCCAAGTATACTAATTATACATCAGTCCATTAAACAAGTAAGAATCATTTAAAGAAAGGAAGTTTATTATTACCAATTTTTGCCCTCAAGACTCATGGAGTAAAAAAAAATCAGTAATGAAGGCATGGTAAGCACAAAAACAACTGAGCCCAAATGGAAATGTCTGGGCTTTAGCGATGGCTCAGTGGTTAAGAGCACTGGCTGTTCTTGCAGAGGAACCACGTCAAATCCCAGCACTCCTATGGCACTAACAACAGTCTGTAACTCCAGTTCTAGTGGTCCTATGCCCTCTTCTGTCCTCTATGGGCAGTGCACAATGGGTGCACTTAAACATACATGCAGGCATGGCACACATAAAATAAAAATTAATTTAAAAAATCAAGTGGGAATGCCATGTGCATCTGGTTCTTCATCACAAGTATAGACTTAGTAACTTCAATTTTTGTCTTACTATCTCCTAATATTAGAAAGAAAAAGGGAATTATGACACTAAAGGAGAGCCAGCACCGTTTTATTTCATGATCATTTTGGCCAGAGCTTACTCGTTATTTTTAAGACCTTTTTAATCCCTGGTTACCAGTATGGGTTCCTCTCCCAAATGCAAGATCTTGGCAGAACACAGAAGGTCTGTTTTCTGTCAGAGCATTGCACTCTGAATACCAGGAACCATTTCATCACAGGTGTGTCTCTGCAGGTGTAGTGGGTACGGCTACATCATGTTCTTTGAAATGTATTTTAAAAGTAATCCTACAAAGAGACCTGCTGAACTTGGAATTATGGGCAGGAAATACATCAGAATGCAACTTGGAAAAATGGAAGCTAATAAATCTGTCCTACACCTCGACTTCATTAAAAAGGAGCTCCCTTTTTCATTTAATAGCATCTTTTTCTGGCTGCATTTTGATACCTGATGCTTTTCAGGGGATTTGGACCTTTTGAGCCTTTCAGAGTTCTTGTTTGTGGCACCACAATAAAATACGATAGATTAATTTATCATGATGGAAAAAAGAAACTTATCTGGAAACACCAGCTATGAAGGTAAAGTGAGCCTGCCATTTGGAAGATGTCTCTCCCACCACTAGCTGAGCAACAGCACCAGCCTGACTAGTCACATTTGGAAGATGATTTCAGCTCTTTGTTTCTCTCTTTCTCCCACAACTCACTTCTGATCATTCCATTCAGCAAAGGAGTAAGGAAAAGAATTCTCTTTCTTTGATACTTTTACACTCTGTAAACTACTGGTACAGCAAGCCTGTGCTAAGCTAGGTAATGGAATAAGTGAGTTGAAAATCACTTTTCCATCCAAATACTTGGCCCGGTTGTTTTCTTTTTAACACTGACATTTATTTCAAGGCATTTTTTCCTAGAAGTGAGGAGCTTGCTGGCCTTCGATTTCACTTTACCCACGGTGATTGTTTTATATAGTGCAGTTCCTAATTACCATTTAATTAGGAAAAGGCTTTCACGCCTTCAACCATACCATCACAATAGGTTTAATTAACAACTTCCCTGACTTGACCCTCCCAGTGATTTAGGAAATTACTCGACCTCTCTAAAGTGTTGTTTTCCTAGCCTAATAGTGAGCTATAATGTGTACTTAATCCTTTTATCAATGTGTGTATGTGCACGTCTACATGCATGTACATGCCACAGCATGCAAATGGAGGTCAGAGGACAACTATGAGATCAGTTCTCTCCTCCCACTTTAAGTGGATTCTCAGGATCCAATTCAAGTCACCAGGCTTGTGTGGCACCTTTACCCACTGAGCCATTTTGCTGGCCAGTAACTCTGTACTTTAAAAGATTGGTCAATTAATAAAAGTGTCAGAGGAAGTCCAGCATTTAGCAAAAGTGCTTGACAACATGGACACGTATCCACTTATCTTTCAAAAAGTGCAGAGGCAGGCAGATCTCCGTGAGTTCAAGGCCAGCTTGGTCTACATAGTGCGTTCAAGGACAGCTGAGGCTACAGAGAGAGACCCTGTCTCAAAAGTACACTTAATCTTTATTAGTAGTAGTACTGATAATTAGTGGTAGTGATGGTCAGCTGAGCACACATGATGAAGACAACTCTAAACCAAGGATCAGTAACCCGATTTAGAAAATAGATGGTAAATACTTAAGATTTGGTGAGTCAGACACAGCCCGTGCTATATATCTATACACATTCTTTTTTTCCCCTCAAATATAAAATTGTAAAAACTGTCCTTAGCTGGTCTAGAGCATTCTATTGTACTTTAGCAACTAGGACCATCTTCCAAGCCTGGCACTCTCATATATTTGTTTGTCTTTGGGCAATAGTTGTCATAAATCCAACAACTCCTTTTAGTGTATAAGGCTGCCGTTGTTTTTCCATAGCATTTTTAATCTTGTATGATTATTTGCTTGCAGACCCAGGAGGTCTAGAGAGTATATTTTTAAATATATCTCTAGCTATAGATTCTGGTGTGAGGAATAGCAGTTATCTGCCCCCAAGCCCTTCCCCCTCACAAACCTGCTGGGCCTGGCTAGAGATCTAAGAAAGATCTATATTTGAATATTTAATTGATTCCAAATGTCCTAAGGAACACTAAAGAGAACATGTTACTAATCACCCTTCAGGAGTTGGGCCCCCACAGACAGCTTCAGATGTTCATAAGCCTTCTCTGGACAATGGGGAGTTAAATTAGTTACAGGTCAACATGCAGGAAGGTAGTTAATTTCTCAAGGAATTCTAGAAGCATGCCCAGTTTTCTGAGGACAGTAGGAAGAGGTTCTTCCAAGCCAGATGTCTGAACAAAGTACACAGCACAGTCACTCTTTGGCAGCAACCATGCAACAGACTTACTGTAGTATCAGAATCACAGTTCTTCAGAAAAACACACAGACTGATTCTCATAACATTGAATGTCCTAGGATGATGGATCCCTCTAGCATACTCTACCAGGCATGTCCAGTCTTTTGACATTCCAGCAGAACACTGTCATCTGCAAAGCTCATGTTGGAAAACTATGCAACTGAGTCATAGAAATGACAAACACAGAAATCTCATAATGGTTTAAGTAAGTTTACACTTTTGTGTTGAGCTTGTCCTGGGGTATATGTAGCACACAGGACACAGGTTGGATATGACTGTGAGTCTTTTCCTTCCTCTTGTCCTTTTAGGTAATTTAGATGAGGAAATTATGTACCATTCATTTATTCATTTAACCAATATTTATTGATTGCCTTTTATATGTCAGGTATTATCCTAGTGTCTACATCATGAGATGCAACGGAGAAAAGCCAGACAAGCCTATGCATCTTTGTGGTAGCTGTGCTTGCTGTTGTTAATCACGGTGCAAGATAATGATCATAGTATAATATAAAATGGTCAAATATAAAAATATAAATTCACAGTGAAATGTGAATACAAAAAGAGTAAATACCTGTGAAAAGTCACCTGAGTGCTTTGCAACCATGGAATGAAGGCAAATCACTAGAAATTTATTGTTGAATAACATTACAAGCAGCTATCATATGCTAAAAATAAATACTGTCAACATGCAGAAGATGTTGGTATTTGGTTCCTTCCTTGCAAATGACTTTAAAAACTTGAGTCCATTTCTTTCTGTTATTTTTTTTTGTTTGCTTTGTTTTGTTCTTTTTGTTTTTATTTATTTTGGTTATTATACAAAGCAGTGGGTTTCATTATGACATTTTCATACATGTCTAGCATTATACTTTGTTCTTTTTTTTTTTTGCCCCTTTCCTGCCTTGCTTAGTCATTTTGAAGACACAAAAGCTAGAAATCATAGACTATACTATTCAAATGAATATAATGTAAGAAGATACAGTTCCAACTGGGTTTAAGCTCAGAAGAGCAGCAAAGAGGGTGATTAAACCCTTAACCTCAGATTAGATTATAGGCTAGTACATGAATTTGCTCTCTTTCAAGTTAAGGTAATTTGTTGGTGCAGATGATTCATCTTTATGATTTCCTTCTTTAAGAAACATTTTCATATAAACAAGCAGTTTCAGTGAGAAGGCTTCTGTTGTGTAAAATAGAGTAACCACAGACAATTCAGAAGTTTTCACTGTAGCATCAGAATCACAGTTCTTCAGAAAATCACAGTTCTTCAAAGCACTCAGGTGAAGAAAATAATACATATTTTCTGGGGCACAAATCATCGATTTCCAAAGACTCTTAAATTTGGAAATAATTTTATTTTTTTAAAATATACCAATGTGCTGAATTGATTATCTAATGTAATCAGTGTGGTCCTGACATGTTTTTGCAGCTGGTTCTTCAGATTTCATTTCATTATCAGCTTTGCCTCTCTCTCATTTAAAAAGCTCCACTAATTATGGTAAATAGGTAAGTTCCTGAAGTC